ATACTAAAGATAATTTAGTACTTGGGGATTCTTAGGAATAAAATTGTAGGTAGATATTCAAAATTATATTTTCTCCATGTAACGTAATATATTAAGACGAAGGATTGTAATGTGATACCTATATTGCAATTTTATTGTACCTATTATTTTTGCGGATGTAGTTAAGCGAATAAATAACGACATTGGGGATATACTCGAGGTAGGTATTCAAGTATATATGAAAACTATTTTTTTTTTGTAAATGAGCCATTCATGATCAATGACTCATTATTTTGGTTTATCTCATAAATTACAGTTAAGATTAAACTTGTTATACTGAACTTCATTATAATATAAAATATCATAGGATAATTTATTGTTTTATTATGATATCATATACATTGTTTATAATTGAAATCTTGATGATAGACATTTTGTGAATTAGATTTGTTCTAAATAATTATAATAAACTAATAATGTTACACACATATTTAAATGCGAAGTGGTATGCATACAATATTACAATTCATGAAGTTATACAAGTTATCGCATTATATAATTGAAAAGTTTAAATAATATAAACTACAAGTGTATCGTCAAAATCTAGTAAGGATGTTAAATTGCCTATCATGTCTGTTACACTTAAAGTTTTTTAAGGTACTAAAAGAAATATTCAATTGAATCGAATTTTTTTTTGTTCACATGCATATAGTTTTTCAAACATCCCATGATATTCTCCCTGAAAAAGAGAACATATTACATATTATACATATAAACTTGTGTAGAAATCTTAGAAAAAACGTGATTTTTTTAAATCAATAATTAGATTATTAACTTACAACAGGGAAGCTCGGTATAAAACTGCTTTTTGATTGAAATTGTGAAAAAACTCCAATCATCAATAACATCTTTACTATAATTTTGCTTTTGATACTTAATTGAGTATAAATGATTCATCGTATATTATAAGTTATCAACAGTGACAATATAATAAATCAATAACATATACCTACAAATTACAATATTTAACAAGACCTGACAAAAAAAAATTGATACTTATTATTCAACGTGAGACAGCAATTACTATGACAGGATATGGATTTTAAATACTTTATGAAATATGTGAGAAATTCGCAATAAGAATAATTTGAAAAAAGTTATTACGTTTTGAATAAATTACTACAAAATAATATTGATATTTAAACAAAAAAGGAAAAAATAAACTACCTACTTGATTTAAATAAATATTTTTATTATCAACGTTTGTCTAAAAATTAGATTTGTAAATTATCTAGGCTTATCTATCTGAAATAAAGATAAATCTTATTCCTTACTTATAGCGCAAGTGTCTATAAATTATAAAAAAATAAATGTTTATAATTGATTATTACAAAATTTATATTATTTGACAGGTCTTTTTTGTTACACTCTGTATGTATAACCTAACCTAACCTAACCTAACCTACCCATATTTATTTTGTTTAAGTTAATCAAATTGTTACTCCCATGGCCGTACAAGAGAATACTCTGTAACCAGGCAGCCAAGTACTTTATTTTCTACATTTTTTAACTTAATCACACATTTATATTTTCCATAAAAATATACTTTGGGCAAGTTATGATCTTCAAATAGCTTCAAGTTGATCCCTGTTGTACTAAATGTGCCCTGTAAAAATGTAGAGTTAATTTGTTACAAATACAATATAATACTTGATAATGAACTTCATACAATGTTATTTTTTATAAAACCTATAGCGTAAGTACTTTCACAATTAATAATATTGTCCCACAATGAACAAATAATATTTTATTGAACATTTGTATTTCAGATTCTGAGCGGAGCAGTGTATGTATGATTTTACAATGATACATGCTTTTTTTTTGTGTCTGTTTACAGCAGTCGAAATAATACATCGATTTTCAACTTTCAGTATCTTTTAAAAGTGAATCCTGTTAGAACATTTGAGAGGTCACAACTTAAAATTCCCAGTAGTTTTCAAAAGTGATGGGAAAAACAAAAAGAAAATTAAGGAAAAACGGAAATTCTTTCTCAAAATCGGTTTTTGAAAAAACTTGAAAATGTACCACACTGTTCTTCATAAGTTTTTGTTAGTGGAAATCATAAAAATGTTTAGCTTAAATGTACAATAACTTTTTATAAACGTCTGAAGTTATAATTTTAACCAAATTCGTAAGAATCACGAAAATTCACAAATTATTTTGAGTTAAAAATTCATGAAAACATTTTTTTTAATATAAGATTTAAAAATTGTATACAAGAATACACTTAAATTGATCTACCTTCATCAAAATAAATAACTATCCAACAGTCAAATTAAATTTATATGAGCGCATTCAGTTAAATTTTTATAAAATTGGAAATTCACTCAATATCTTATGGAACAATTTTTTTATTTTCTTATAAGTATAAAACCATTCACCGTAGATAATTTAAATTTACATCATATGTTTATTTAATAATTTTCTAAATTTGTAAAAATGTTCGTTTTGAGCTGTTTGCGCCGTTTGAGGACATTTTTAATTTAAAATTTTTTTAAAAGCTTAAAAGTAATATACGAGGCTCCTTTTTTTAAAGTAATGGTAGTTGTAAAATAGTGAAAATACTTACAGGTAAATGGTATGTCATACATAATTTGAACTGTAACAAATGCCAAATACATTTGATTTATATCAATTTTACTTCAATGTAAATTGGATTCAATTTTCGTAGAATAGAAAAGTACTTATTAAAATCATTTTACCTCTCCCGGCTGTTACCATATTGGTTAATTATTAAGTGCCTACGCAACTTTGCTTCTGATGTATTTTGCCAATTGTATATACATTTTAAAACAACAAAAAAATTGAATGACTATAATATGAAAAATAAGGAAGTATTACATTTTTAAATTCTTAAATTGTGCATGAGTTTTAATTTAATACTATAAATTTTTTTAAATGATGTGTTTATTTCCACCATAAAAGCCGTAAATATAATATATTATGATTATTAATTGGTAACACAAAAGAAAAATATTTCTTCTGACCTGCACTACCTCTATTTTCTTTACACGTTTTCTCGATATGACTCCATATTCTTTTGCAATAATGATAGTACACTGTATTTAAATAAGCAATTCTAAACCCAGCTCAGTTGAAACAGCTCGCCGAGATTTCTTTGGATTTTTTAATATTTAAAGACTGCTAGTATATTTTATATGCTTCAAAAAACTACGAAGAAAATTAAAAACATATACTTTACACAAGTATTTGATTTTAAATTATTGTTTTTACTAGATACTGTGATATGTTTTGTTAATTTTATAATTTAATACTAATTTGGCAGTTAATTTTTTTTATTATTAAAGTAAATTTCAATTCACTTAAAGTAACTATAATAGTATAATAGACAATAGTTACATTGTACATGATACAATAAATATTATGATGAGTATATTATCTATAGTGTATAGTATGCAGTCAGCAATATAACCTAGAAATAAATAAAACACTTTTATTCATAAATATTGGTTTTTAAAAGATCGTTCAATGAAATGGAACACTTTACGAGTGTAGAAAATTCACACAACGAAAACGTATGGGCTGGCATTACATTATGATGTAGTACGTATGACGTCGCTGTCGTATTCAATTTCAGAAATATTTTTAACGAAAACGGGAATGGGGAATAACACTCATATATAATAATATAATACAAACATAAATATTATATAGAGGTAGGTATATTATGTGTGTATAGACGGTTATTAGATGTTAAAATAAGTGTTTGTGGTTTGTCTTGTCAACAAAATGCTCGAAGGAGTGTCAAGTCACTTTCAATAAATATTTTTTTTTTAAACAATATTGGGGAAATTTTACTTTCGTGAAAAAATGTGTACTTTACCCGTCATAAATTAACGGGATGGTAGAAGAGGGATGATGATCGATTGTTGGACGATAAATGCTAATAGACATTGACGTGAGCATGGTGTGAGCTCCAGCGATTTCCTATCGATCGCTGAGGCAGCCTCGACAAATTGTTTAAGACACTCCGCGAAGAGCATGACATTTATGTCACACATAAAATATACTCGTGAGTTGTGAGTCGTGCTAGACCATAGCAGTTGATGAGTGGCAGCTGTAGACAAACTCGAAAATTCAGTGAATTCATTCCATTGCATGCGTCTACTAGATTTCCGGTGTGTCTGTATGCATAATAGGTATATAATTTAATATACTGTTTTCACTATCAGGAGAATAAAATATTATAAGCTAAGTGCTCGTATGACATGATGCATAGTGTAGCACAGGTAATTATTATTCAAGTGCAGAGAAATCATTTCTGAAGGATTTTCTAGCGGTTCGTATTATATAAAATATGGGTATTGGGGTACAGTGTTTGACGAACGACGAAATAGAGATTTTGTACGCGTTTCCTGTTTTAGCAAACCACAGCCCCGCTGTATATTGAATTATTATCGTTTATGTTTTTGGACCAAATTGGATTGCAGTCCGCATCAACAGGAACGACGGAAAAAGCAGCAACATCCACTACTGTCGCTATTTCGATTTATGTAATATATTTAATTTTTTTTTTCACCGAGTGTCTAACGCGATTACTGGCCATTTCGGTGAATCGAACCGTGATAAGATATTTCACTCGATTTGACGGGATAAAAACATAATCTACAATTGGTAAAATACTAAAATGTACACTTGACGTCGAGATTTAATACTGTTACTGAATATATATAGTTCGTTGGCGACGCTAACAACAATTAATGTATCCATACAGAGACACTATTTTGAACACAGAAGCTAAGATCACACAGTATTCAACGTCTCCACTCCTCAGCAAAGAGGGTCGAGATACCAGTGATGTAAAAATTGTTTTTCATATAAAGTTTATACAATACCATCCAAATACTTTTTATGGTAACGTATTTGAAATAAAATCTTAAAATAAAAAAAAAAAGGACATGGACATAATTTATTTTAATCATAAATGTATTAATTCCATATTAAAAATAGCAATGCACTCGCTGTATTTATGTTTAAAAAGGGAACAATAATTTTAGTGATAAAAAAAATTTGTAAATGGTTTATCTTTGTTACTAAACAATACATAATAGTTCATAAATAATTATAGCTTATAAAAGTTGTTTCATATTTAATATGACAAAAATTGTGTGGGTTGTGTTGGTTATTAGTTCTTATGCGATCTCCATTATTTTTGTCACACAAAATATGGAACTATAGAAGACTATATATATATACTCTGTGGGCTGTGTGGCTGTGATATATAATCGTTCTAACGTTGATATATAAAGGCATAGAGTTAATAAAAATTACAAACAGAATACAATTTAAAATCCGAAGAATCAAACAATTATTTAATAAAGTAGTATTTGTAATTGAGTGGTAAAAAAGGTATTTCAAATTAAAAGTAATAAAAAAAAGTATTTGAAAACTTTTACTCAAATGCTTTGCAAGTTCTAACACTGGTCACCACTCCATTTTTACATCTGTTCCGGCAACAATTTTGAGTAAGTCCTTGTTTTCTGGTAAACCAGATAATATTTGTACTTAATATTTTGTCCGGTTTACAATACGTCCTTGAAGGAGTTCAGTTGCTGCCGTTTTTGGCATAAAAAAGGAAAATAAACATCATCTTACATCCGAAAAACTAAAAAAATTATAAAAAACGGACTTACGCTTTCTTTTTATTGTTGGAGATTTGATATAATATGTATTTAAATTCAATAGGAGATAATATTTTCCACTTCAGCCACAATACACACGCACCAAAATAAATAAACGGCGAGAAGAATATTTCACATCGAGAATATAACATCATATATATATATAGGCAGTCTCCGCAGTAAAAATATCCGAAATATAATAAAGCGCCGATCATCCGACTGATTCGAAACGCTGCACTTCGATGCCATGACGAATACCTTTACTGAGCAAATAAAGGCGTAGGTTTAAAATATATTATATTGTTATACAAACAATATATATATACGTACACACACGTAATATATAACGTATTGCTGCAGATATTCTGTTTCTGAAACCTCCGTTGCAACCACTGTGGACACACCACTGAGACATAAAATCAATTTTGCTCAATATATCGAGAAGTCAGTCGTTGCGAGTTATTGGTAGGTATGCGAACCGAAGTCTGATTTTATGACGTGTCGTCTTGCTCGTCATTTTAAACAGCATTCACTCACACCACATAATGTATAGCCGGTAATTATTGTGACAATGCCATCGCATATTTTGTCCCATTCCACATTCCTGCAATGTTTCATTCTTATTTCTTATTATGACAAAAAAAAAAACCACTCCATCGTTGCATATTACAAAATAATTAACCTCTCCCATTATTTTTTATTAAAATATCAAACGGTTTTTCATCTAATTTATTATTATAGTTATAATACCAATATATTATTTATCTCATCTTCAGTATTGTACTACCTACATGTTGTTAATTTATAAAAGCAGTATGGCCTTTATTATTTATTAATAAACAAATATCCCTTTGAGTTTGGAGTCTTTCTATTTAGTATTATTTTATATATATATCTCTATGAAAATCTTAATCCATAAAGACAAAATATAATTTTAAAAAGTACAATTTGAAAATATTAGTTTATCATATAGATAGGCAATATAAAATATAACCCATATAAACAAATAACATAATTGTTGTCAATATCGCTGGTATATATATATTTATATTTATTAAATATTATAAACTCCGCAAATATGAAAATATGCTTCTAAAATATAAATTTGTCAACAGGTAGGCGTCTATGCAATTGTATTTAATGGTGATAAGTGATAACTAATGTAAATTAATGTTTGACAAGACTACATTTCTTTTACAAAGTAGCATCAATTTCTCTGTCCTGGATAATAATGGATATAATAATAATATGATAATAGATTATTGATTTACATAGCATATTTTAGTTCAGCAATTCCGATTTTCTGTTTTAATTTCTTTAAAATTAATCCATTACTAAACTTAAAAGTGATCACATAACTGTTTTATTTCCTTTGTTTTTACGATTTTTAAATTTCTAAGCAGGTTGGGAGTTCCTATAAAAATATTTAAATTTAAAAATATCACAGCTCATAGCTTAAAAATGGAAGTATTGTAAAAAATCAACAAGAGAACACAAACGATGTTCTTACCTTTAAGTTTGAATAGGTTTGATCAATTCACTCTAATATCAACGCTAACAACACGAGGTTAAAACTTTCTGAACACAACATTTTTCTGAGTGTGAATTTTGAAAACCGAACCACATCATCAGTATTTATCGAGCTGTGTTCATACTGCAAACTGTTCAGGTGCTATTAGTATCGAGTATGGACGGTAGTTCTCCGTCACGTTGGCTCACTTTATATACGTCATTTGCAGTTCCCCGCTCGAGTATTTGACGGAATTAGAATAATATTGCTCGAGTGTAATGAGCCGCTATTTCGGATTGCACACACTTCATCTCGTGCCGTTGGCCGCATTTAAATGATTTAATGTATTTTCCATATTTTCAATCTGTATTTATTCAGTGTAACTGTTTCGCTGTCTATCGGCTGTATTATTATGACTACTATAATCCGTTGTAAGCTTAAAAATCAAGCTTACAGGTCTGATTAATATCCTGAGTGAATAAAAATATGTACTAAGTGACAAGAGTGGGTGTATTTAAATTTATTGGTTAATAAACGATGGCAGCAGAGGAGAAAATGAGCCTCCACTGCTGTCGGTTAAACAGGAAAAAAAAAGTGACAAGAGTTGTCATGTGTGACGTCAAAAATTTGCTATCTCGACTAATATTTCTAGAGCTACACAAATTAATAATTTTTCACCAAAGTGTAAAGTTGATATTTATGTAACTTTTATATGGCATTAAATTATACTTAACTCTGATACGATTTAAATTAGTACTCAGTAACATCTCCCACCTTCAAACTTGACGTTTTTTGTGTTTAAATTATAATAATATTTAATATATTTTAATAGACACACGTATTTATAATGTACTGAAATAATAATAAAAGTGAATTTTAAATGAATTTGTTATGGCTTATATGACGTTAGAAACAAACTCTATTTAAATAAGGTATAGAACTTTGTTTTTCTGTATTATCCATTAGTTACCTAAGATTACATACCTATTGATTATTTTTATATTTTGTGCAAATACAATATACAATTATGCGGCACTGTAATTTACATACATTGCTATTGGTTTCTTAAAATATCTTGTTGACCCAAATGTATTATATTGTTAATATTGTGTACTCATAATACTCTGATAAATGAAACAAATATGACACAGTCATTGTGAGGAAAACACGTACAATTACAAATAACATTTTTATAATTGGATCCCTGTCTTTTTTATTTTTTATAAACTGTTTAATAAACTGAAAATACTCATGCACTCACTAAGCTATAGAAGTATTAAATAAGGTTACATAACACATATTATTACAGAAATAGCAGAAGTCTCACTGACACCGAAGAGTATAAGTTTACCATAAATGACGTCTTTACTCTTATGATACATACAACAAACTACATATTGTTAAAATTGTAGAAATAATCAATATTATAATTAATAATATGTTAGTGAATCTTGATAAAAGTCTTCATTTTTCATATTTTATTACAACGTTTGTTGTACAAGTTTATTTTTAACTCAACCAATATTTTTAAAAATATATTTTATTATACCACAAGATTTTTTTAAGCAATCTCAACCCATTGTTATGTTTAAAATTGTTCGATGTGCATACATTCAAATTTTGATGAAACTGATTAAAGAATATATTTCCGAGGGCCTGGTGGAATTATAACGTTTAAGAAGTATCCTGTGGCGATGCCAACTTTGGTATTTTTCCAATGAGAACTTACCTGTCTTAATTCAAATTGTGAATTTTAGTGATTTTTAAGACTTTTTTGACGAGTTTGACAATTTTGCATGTATATATAAAAAAAATTATGTATTTTCTATTATTTTAAATCACTATAAAAGCAATTTATGAGGCGCCTTAAATTACCTTTTGACTGAGCATAACAATTTCAGTCAAAATGTATAGAAAAAAATTTAAAAATTTTTTAAATATAAAATAATTATAATAACTAAATAAATAACTTAAAGTTAGTTTAAATATTTAAAAAAAAATGTATAGTGTGTATTATACCATATGTACTTATACCACGTCTACATTCTGTTATTATAAATATTTTATGACAATTTCAAATAGGTATTACAGCTATTCGTTTTAAAATCACAACAAAATAACAAAATCAATTTCGTTAAAACATAGTGCGGAGTAAGTATTCCTGTTTTCCCGTTATTTCTACTTTTGATCAATTAAATTCAATTTTTTCAACCGAAAGTTAAAGATTAACATGTTTTTTCTACTTTAAAAACTAAAAAGTCTTTTACAAAATTAAAAAAAACTTACATCATTGTATACCAATATATTTATATATTTACCTTTCCATTCAGACTCCGAATTGCACTTCCTTACTTTGTATAATATAATGTTTACAAGTACATTTTTTTTTCTGTGACCAGTGAATTTTTATAGTTGTAAAATGTCTGGAGACATTCAATTTCTTAGAAACCATAATCTAGAAGCCGTGCTTACAACACGTAATAACTTCAAATTTGTAACGTATACGACAAGACAGAGTGTTTACCATCTAGAAGTAATTCTAAGAATTTTCACAAACGCACTTACTGAATGGCATTGGACAACAAGCAATGGAAAACTTGATACCATTGTTGATGCCGTGTCATTGGTTTTCTATCATAACCAAATTCTATCGGCAAAGGCTCTGGCAAGGTAACTTAACCTATCAATTTTACGTTTTTAGATTAAATAATACTGTCGGATTCATAAGAATTATTGGTATTAAGTTTCTTTATGTAGACAACTAGGAACAGAACAGACTTTATAATAGGGTCATATCGCGAATAGAACATTATTAGGACTAACATTTATAGAAAAACGGAAAACAATATGATACAATGTCCAATTAGTTTACTTGTCATTGTATTTGTGGGATGCTTTCCGACACACGGAAGACGAGACACAACTAGGGTCCTGTCACTTTCAAAGGACGAAACCATTTTGAAAATAACGTATGGTCGAAATCAAATATTGTTTCGACAAAAATACCAAATATTGATTAGCGGGTAATAAATTATGTTATGAAAAATATTTGTTAAATATAATCTTATATCAGTTATTATAACGTATAATACTTAAACTGATGTTTAGTATCCTGAATATGATTCACAGATCAATATATATTCTAAAGAAAAATAATATTATAATAATTTTGTTGTAAATACTGATTTAGATAAATTAATATCGTTAGTAAAATTTTTAACAAACGATTTAAATTGAAATAGATATTTTACCGAACGTTTTTTTTAAGATAATTTGACTTAAATTAATATAGAAACAATTTTGAGAAATTAACTTTGATGATAAGCATTCTTTGTCATTTTGACATGACAAGTTGACGACTTAACTACTCGGTAGACGATTATTAATCGTTCACGCTGACTTGAGATTGAAGTTTCATATAATTAATCCATATATAGCTGTACCATTCGATATTCTAGTTCTTTTTTTTTTATTGTTGTAGTACCCACGTAATAACTTGATGTGGAATTTAAGAAACGCTTTAATATCGGAAACGAAAATATATATTTTGGAAAATCTCGTAACTAGTGTCAATGCACCCACGTTGGTCTGAAATTGCAGCCAAATATGTACCAAACATAAATGGCACGATACTTAAAAATTAAATCGGTGTATATTGATTGAAACTTATGAATTAAAAAACATATACATATGTGATATGTAAAATAAACAAAATATACATATATCACGTATAAACGTTAATCATCGGCCATTCATATTTTTTAATTTTGGCAGGCAACACTGTCCACAATGTGAACACGTCATGTGAATAATTGCAATATCGCTTGCGGCTTTTAAAACGTTTGTTTTAGTCCGGGAAACTGTTGAACGATAATTTACATTTTTGTATGCTTAGGTACACTTTGGTCTCAAACCACCTAAGTACTAAATTACTAGCCGGTTAAAACTCGATGTGTGCGACGAAAGGAAGTTTCGAATAAAATTAACGCATCGTCGCAGAAACGAGTTATCCCCGGGTCTAAGACACCACTACAGCAGTCCTATATCCACACGACCACACACATTGTAAAATAGGAGTAATCGTTTACACTGTGCAGTAGTGAAAACAGCAGCGTGTATATTATATGCCATGCAGCTGGTCGCATATATAAGAGTGTAATATATTAGGGATGGTGGACTTATTCGATTTAAAACGACACACTACACTATTAATTCGATAGAATTTAAAACTACTTAGCCCTAAACGCGCTGTGGAAACTATATATATGTACAAATATACAAAGGCATGGGTGGGCGGCAGGTCAAAACACTCGGCATTAGGCTGGAGAGAGTATATTATTATACCTTTTATACCATAAAATATTTTATTACGGCCGTCCAGCATATAACGGCTATCAAGCTATCCTTTTTTAACGTCCGACGTGTGTATCACCTTATTTCATACGAATTCGTTTGGCGAGATTCAAATCTGAAAATTACAAACTTAATAATAAGTGTTACATAGTGACAGTACTGTTGTGCGTTTACGCAAGGTAAACGGACTTTTTTCCATACTCGTGTTAAATGTTTTTTTCTTGATATTCAAGGTTTTGCGAACATCAATATCTCCTGAATAATAAATTTCAAAGGTAAATAAGTGTAAACGAATAATTTATTCGGATATGATTATTTAGTGTTGGAACATTGCACACGGAAAAAAATATTTAGTAAGATTAACCATTTTTAAAGTTAGTTCAACTTTAAATTCTAGTTATATATGTGACAACCAGATAATTAGTTGAT